TGCTCTACACCTTCTCCCAGCTTTCCTTACCCAATACAATCTTTACCACCTACCTGTACCACAGCACAGGTAGAGCTCTACCTGTACCGCAGCACAGGTAGAGCTCTACCTGTACCACAGCACAGGTAGAGCTCTACCTGTACCACAGCACAGGTAGAGCTCTACCTGTACCGCAGCACAGGTAGAGCTCTACCTGTACCACAGCACAGGTAGAGCTCTTCCTGTACCACAGCTCAGGTAGAGCTCTACCTGTACCACAGCTCAGGTAGAGCTCTACCTGTACCACAGCACAGGTAGAGCTCTACCTGTACCGCAGCTCAGGTAGAGCTCTACCTGTACCACAGCACAGGTAGAGCTCTACCTGTACCGCAGCACAGGTAGAGCTCTACCTGTACCACAGCACAGGTAGAGCTCTTCCTGTACCACAGCTCAGGTAGAGCTCTACCTGTACCACAGCACAGGTAGAGCTCTACCTGTACCACAGCACAGGTAGAGCTCTACAGGAGAAATACTGAGATTTACAAAGGACACGCCCACAAAGTATGCTATAAATCAGTCTGTGTGTGTGTGTGTGTGTGTGTGTGTGTGTGTGTGTGTGTGTGTGTGTGTGTGTGTGTGTGTGTGTGTGTGTGTGTGTGTGTTGAGTCCTTCAAACGCAGATGATTGAGAAGCTAACTGGTGTAACCAGAGTTAGTGGAGGAAAGTTTGCACCAGTTGACAACAATTGCGTGACAACAATTAGACAAAATCATGAAGATGTCTTGTTGCTATGGTAACACCATACAGTCATTAAAAACATCTGCAGCTGTTAAAGGTGTGTTCACTGAGAAACCATTTTTAATGATTATCTCGGAGTGTCTCATGCTGGCTGAACATGAAAATAGTCTCCTACACCTATCTCCTGCAGTAGCTTCTGATAGAAGATAGTCTCCTACACCTATCTCCTGCAGTAGCTTCTGATAGAAGATAGTCTCCTACACCTATCTCCTGCAGTAGCTTCTGATAGAAGATAGTCTCCTACACCTATCTCCTGCAGTAGCTTCTGATAGAAGATAGTCTCCTACACCTATCTCCTGCAGTAGCTTCTGATAGAAGATAGTCTCCTACACCTATCTCCTGCAGTAGCTTCTGATAGAAGATAGTCTCCTACACCTATCTCCTGCAGTAGCTTCTGATAGAAGATAGTCTCCTACACCTATCTCCTGCAGTAGCTTCTGATAGAAGATAGTCTCCTACACCTATCTCCTGCAGTAGCTTCTGATAGAAGATATTCTCCTACACCTATCTCCTGCAGTAGCTTCTGATAGAAGATAGTCTCCTACACCTATTTCCTGCAGTAGCTTCTGATAGAAGATAGTCTCCTACACCTATCTCCTGCAGTAGCTTCTGATAGAAGATAGTCTCCTACACCTATCTCCTGCAGTAGCTTCTGATAGAAGATAGTCTCCTACACCTATCTCCTGCAGTAGCTTCTGATAGAAGATATTCTCCTACACCTATCTCCTGCAGTAGCTTCTGATAGAAGATAGTCTCCTACACCTATCTCCTGCAGTAGCTTCTGATAGAAGATAGTCTCCTACACCTATCTACTGCAGTAGCTTCTGATAGAAGATAGTCTCCTACACCTATCTCCTGCAGTAGCTTCTGATAGAAGATAGTCTCCTACACCTATCTCCTGCAGTAGCTTCTGATAGAAGATAGTCTCCTACACCTATTTCCTGCAGTAGCTTCTGATAGAAGATAGTCTCCTACACCTATCTCCTGCAGTAGCTTCTGATAGAAGATAGTCTCCTACACCTATCTCCTGCAGTAGCTTCTGATAGAAGATAGTCTCCTACACCTATCTCCTGCAGTAGCTTCTGATAGAAGATATTCTCCTACACCTATCTCCTGCAGTAGCTTCTGATAGAAAACAGACGGTGAAGTCTAGGATTAGAAAATCCTGACAGATCTACGTCACACTGTCACTAACAATCATGGACTCACCCATCCTGACTCACGACGGGGAAGGCTGTTGTTGGTTTAGCGTCCAGGAAACAGCAGCGAACAGCTCAGCTAGTAGAAGCTAACTGTTAGCATTAGCACCACACAGCAGAACTTCTCCAGGTGTGTGTTATTGGTGAAGATTAAACATCAACGTTGCAGAGCAAACAAGAGTCAGTGGTAGAGTTGTCTTGCTGTTAGCCAATCACAGGATGAACAGAGATGAACCTGCACCTGCGGCACTGAAGGTTTTCTGGTAACCAGCTGATTTCAGTGGGAATTAGCCGATAGACGGACTGATGAAATGATGAACAGGATTTCCTGCCTGTTGGGTTAATGTAACATTTTCATGAAATGTTCCCCATAGATCTGGAACACCTCAGCCAGGGGTCCAATTACACACAGGCTTCTGTGAGAGGTGGAAACACTGCAACGGCTAATAACATAACATACACTGGTAACCAGCTATGCTGACGCTGGTTTTAGCAGTAGGACGCACAATCATGGACTGATGGTGACCTGGCTTTGTTGCTGCTGGACTTGTAAGTGATAATATTTTTTTCCAGCAGTTTGAATCTGTTTATTTGGTGACTTGTTTGGTATCAGTTAGCTCGCGTTAACATTAGCTCATTGATAGCCCTAGCTGCAGGATGCGGCTGGGTTGTTCACGACAGACGCAATTCCACTTTCAGCCAGTAGGAGGAAGAAGCAGGAAACTCATTTAGCGTTGCTTTAACTGTTTTGGATCAAAATCTACATCTGATTCGTGGGGGTGGGAATCTTCAGGGGGATCATGATTCGATTACGGTTCATGAGCTCGGATTATTGATGCATCCTTCTCCTCCCTCACCTGGTTTCCAAGTGATTAGGTGGTACTTTAGAAAAACATTTGTAATGATGAAACATTCATTTACTTCCAATATCTTTTATTAACATAAGTATCAGTGCAATGTTGTAAAGAAATGAAGTGCTTCCAAACAAAATAATGCTGGATGTCCATTTGATTTGAACATGAATAACTGTTATTTCTCAAAAAATAAATACGATTAGACAACATTTATAGTATAAATGCTTTTGACAAGAACTTCAATTAAATGTAAAAATAAATGCATAAAACAGGAAAAAAAAAATAGCGTACAGACGCAAATCTTTTGCGATAAGACTTGCTATTGGCTTTGTCATTCTGTTCGCGTTTTCCGAGTTTGGTGGAATTTCAACAACGCCTGCTCCATGGTTCCCTGAATGGTGGCGGCAGCCGCAGCTACCGGCGTCTTTTTCTCCTCTGGGTGAAAACCATCAACGTGGTTTCTCATGTTTGTTTTGTTTTACATAACTTACATACCATATCGCTTTTGTCCAGGTCCTTTTCCCCTCAAACTCATGAAAACCAAAGTAATTCCACACGCTTGCTTTTAATGTTGGCGGTGCTGGCCGTATTCCTCAGTCAGCCATGTTGTCCTGGTCAAGCCATAACCTTTCCGTCCAAGCACCAGACCTCCTTTCAGCCGAGTTCCGGTTTTAACGCTTCGTCATTAATGAAATCGATTGATAATCGTACACGTTCGCATCTTGATGCATCTAAAAAACGAGTTTACCCCCACCCCTACCCCACTGGTTTGTGGGTCAGAAGAACCCCTAGAGTGATGACGGTCCAGTTCTGACTCACCTCTTTGGGCATTTCTTGGGGGAAAAAGAGGTACGGCAGTGCGGTGAGGAAGAGCAAACAGGAAGCTACCAGGAAGCCGAGCCACCAGGCGCCGACCCAGCGAAGGTCCGTAGGTTCCAACCTGATCTGGGCTAAAGACACAAAACCAGAACCACACACAGATCAGTTTGTAAAGCAGTCCGCTCCATTACCGGTTCCAGATCTTTGAGAGCAAAGGTAGGCACAGTAAAATATTACTGCTGGCACTAATGAGATGTCGTTTATCTTAAACACGAGCTGTAGTCATCAGCCTTAATTTAGACCTGGAAATAAAATGGTTGATTTCAGGGAAGCTCCGCCCACGCCTACAACAGCATGTTGGGTGGGTCAGTTGATGCGTACTCTGGTAGGTCAGTGGCTCAGGTGTCTGCCTGCCATCTCAGCTTCACCACATGCTGGTTGGACTCCCGGTGGTGTCGGCAGTTATTTATGTAGCCAGCTGAAGCAGATTACGTTTTTATACTTTTGTATGAAATCACTGGTGCACCGTTTCTAGGAACTAGAAGTTACCTACATTACAGCTGAGCTGCAGACGGCTGGATTTGGAGTCTTACTTCCCACAATGCCATAGTTACTCTAACAGCACCCCCACCACCTATGGACAGGACCAGTCAGTCAGACCTTTCTCCCAATTATAATAGGAACACTACATCACCGTCATATCACTGGTTCAGTCTCTCTGAATAGCACCCCCAACCTATCGAGTCCTTCAACAAGACACATAACCCCCCTTGTCTGCTGGTGGTGGTCGGAGGGACCGGCGGTGCCAGTGTTCGGCAGCCTCGCCTCTGTTGGTGTGATCGCAGCTCACCTCCACAGATGTGTGAATGGATGAATGATCCACTGCCATGAAAAGCAGTTTTGGTCCTCTGACTCTGAAAGGTGCTATTCAAGCGCTGGTCTTTTATCATTTATCATGTCAGTGCATTCGTTTTAACCGTCCTAAGTCACTCCAGTTATCCAACTGTGTTCCTGACCTTTCCCTTCGTCCCGCTGTTGCCCTGATTCTGTCAGAGCAAGGCCCAGGTGCACACCTATATCTCCATCACATCTATACCGGGGGCTAGCCGCCCAAACGACACAACACAGAAGAGGCAAAACTGCAGATCCCCCTCATCCACTACACCCCCCAGTACTAATTGTATTTGTATAGACAGCATGTCAACACAAAGAAAAAGCATCAAAGTTAAATGCAACAAAGCTGGGGTTCATCTTCATGCACCCAGAGCACATGACGTCCCAAACGCTCACGGGCCAAAAGCTAGAAGTAGGAAAGATGTCTTCAAGTCTGACTTCAACCGTGTCAGCAAAAGAGTCTGGCGCACAAACAGAGGAAGTGCGTTCCACGGTTCTGGAGCAGGAAAGCCTGCTCTCCACGAGACTTGTATCTCACTTTGGGAATGCCTGGCAGGTGGTCTGCAGACCTTAATGACCAGAAGGGGAGTAGGACGTGATCTAAAGACCAGAAGCTCTGCGTATGTGCGTCGCTCTAGCTAGCCGACTCTCAGCTGATTCGGTTTAAAGAAACTAAACTGTGTTTACTTTTATTTTCATTATTTACATTTATCATGTAGGTTTCATGCATACCACTGGAATGTGTTCAGTCTAACATGAATAATATATGGAATTAAGGGATTTGGTAACTTTGATTAATGTGTGCTGAATTCATCTGAAAGTATCAAAAAGCTATGATGTAGAAAAAATTAATTGGTGACAAAACACATTAAAAAGACTGGTAACCATGGAAACCGTGATAATCGCTTCATAATCTAATCGAAGGACCCTGAATTGAAAGCTAATTTAATTGTGAGGTACCTACGGCACACCCCTGGTCCAGAATGAAAGAACAGTTATTCCTTTAAAGGTTCATCTCATAAAAATCCACGTTTTGGAGCTTTTCACCATGTGATCTCATCATTTCCACAAACCCGTTCGGGGCAGCCTTCATGCATTTTCCTGGCTCAGCTTCATCTTGGATAACGTTGAGATTTTTCCTGCATCTAGGAGAAAGTAGCCAGGCCCTTCCCCCGAAGCTGGCCTGTTCTTGGCTCTGAAACCTGGATATTACCATACCAGTTTATTTATAAAGCACAATTAAAAATAGCATGCAGCTAACCAAAGTGCTGTACAGGAGAGCCAAAGACTCAAACACAACAACAAAGACAGCGTAGGAGTAAAACATGAAGTTAAACACAGAAAACACACCCGACTTCTGCAGTAGGAAGAAAACACCACCGCATAAGCTACGTGTCCTGTCGACAGACACACGTAATGACCAGCACAGGACGAGTGTGTGAAGTTATTGGTGTGTAACAGACTTGGTAGTCCCATGATGGGAGGAACTGACTGGTATAGCACTGGTTCAACAGCCGGGGCCTCATGTAAGTAAAAGTAAGGAAGGAAGTAAAACTTTATTTAAAACAGATAAAACCACAAAGTGCTTCACGACATACATAAAAAGGCAAAACAGGACAGGAGCACAAGGTCAACTTACATAAAACTTGTCTAAATAAAAGGGTCTTCAGCTGCTTTTTAAAAGAATCAGAGTCGGCCACACGAAGAAACGGGGCAGGGCGTTCCAAACTCTGGGAGCTACAGCTTGAAAGGACAGGTCCCCTCTAGTTTTAAATCTGGTCTTAGGGACCTTCAGTAGGTTCTGACCCGAGGACCGTACAGTGCAGCCAGAAGAGTGGGGGATTAAAAGGTCATAAATATTGTGGAGCTAGTCCATTAAGAGCTCTAAAAGTCAAAACTAAAATTTTAAAATCAATTCTAAACTTGACCGGTGGCCAATGTAAAGAAGAGAAAACTGGTGTTATGTGAGCCCTTCTATTGGTTCCTGTTAAAAGCCTTGCTGCAGCGTTCTGGACCAACTGGAGACGACTGACATCTGATTTGTTACAACAAGTAAAGATAGAATTACAATAATCTAAACAAGAAGAAATAAAAGCGTGAATGATCATCTCCAAGTCCGATTTTGAAGTAAAAGCTCTCAATTTGGAAATGTTTCTCAAATGATAAAAGCAACTTTTTACTAAATGTTTTGAGTGGCAGCTCAAAGACATGGACTGGTCAAAAAGAACACCATGGGTTCTTAGACTGGTCTGGACTGAGGAGCTCAGGGAACCGAGGTGTTGTCGGATTAAAAGCACTTTCTGCTCAGGAGCAATGATAAGTGTTTCGGTCTTGCTTGAGTTCAACTGAAGACAGTTACTGGCTAGCCAGTCCTTAATACACTCAATGCAATCAAGTAGGTCAGCTAACTCGTTAAACTCTGCGTCCTTGAAAGAGCAGTACAGTTGAATGTCATCCGCATATAAATGGTAGGACACATTTTTAAAGCTTTTAATAATCTCCCCAAGAGGGCAAATATATAAAAGAAACAAAATTGGGCCAAGGGCCGAGCCCTGGGGAACACCATGAAGGAAAGATGTGACTTCAGACCTAATCTTGTTTACACATAAAGAAAATGTTCTGCTATTTAAATAGGAAAAAAAAACACTTCAGAACAGTACTAGAAAATCCGAACTCATTTTGAAGTCGATATAACAGAACTTTATGGTCAACTGTGTCAAAAACTGAAGACAAATCCAAGACTGAAGACAAAACCAGTACAGTATATTGGCCAGAGTCTGCGGCCATTAGTACAATGTACCAGCCGTACCTACAAACAGATCTGTGTGAAGGAACTAACGTACATGTGTGTGGTGTTCATCATGTCATACCTGTGTGGAAACGTTCCTAAACATCAGAAAATTTGCTGATCTGCTAACCCCTGAGTTTTAACTGCAGCTAGCTTATTGTTAGCGGCCTGTTTTAGCTGGTTAAATGGCCTATTTCTGTCTTATTCAGCTCTTTCACTTGTTCAGTGCAGTTTTAAGTATTTATATTTAGAGTTGTGTAAGTTGTTAGATTTTTTAGTTTAAAATAAATTCTATTAAGACACAGTAATGTCCATCTGTAAAGATCAGAGTGGTAGAGGACCGACGTTTCTAACTTCCTTTGTCTCTGCAGCTCTGTGACTCGTTCTAACTCCCGTTATTAAACCATCTCAATGAGAGAAAACCTGTTTTTGTTCTGAGACACCAGTGCTAGTTTAGTTAGAGACGTTGCTAGTTTAGTTAAAGACGTTGCTAGTTTAGTTAGAGACGTTGCTAGTTTAGTTAAAGACGTTGCTAGTTTTGTTAAAGACGTTGCTAGTTTAGTTAAAGACGTTGCTAGTTTTGTTAAAGATGTTGCTAGTTTAGTTAGAGATGTTGCTAGTTTTGTTAAAGACGTTGCTAGTTTAGTTAGAGACGTTGCTAGTTTAGTTAAAGACGTTGCTAGTTTTGTTAAAGACGCTGCTAGTTTAGTTAGAGACGTTGCTAGTTTAGTTAAAGACGTTGCTAGTTTAGTTAGAGACGTTGCTAGTTTAGTTAAAGACGTTGCTAGTTTTGTTAAAGACGCTGCTAGTTTAGTTAGAGACGTTGCTAGTTTAGTTAAAGACGTTGCTAGTTTAGTTAGAGACGTTGCTAGTTTAGTTAAAGACGTTGCTAGTTTTGTTAAAGACATTGCTAGTTTAGTTAGAGATGTTGCTAGTTTTGTTAAAGACGTTGCTAGTTTAGTTAGAGACGTTGCTAGTTTAGTTAAAGACGTTGCTAGTTTAGTTAGAGACGTTGCTAGTTTAGTTAAAGACGTTGCTAGTTTTGTTAAAGACATTGCTAGTTTAGTTAGAGATGTTGCTAGTTTTGTTAAAGACGTTGCTAGTTTAGTTAGAGACGTTACTAGTTTAGTTAAAGACGTTGCTAGTTTAGTTAGAGATGTTGCTAGTTTTGTTAAAGACGTTGCTAGTTTAGTTAGAGACGTTACTAGTTTAGTTAGAGACGTTCCTAGTTTAGTTAGAGATGTTACTAGTTTAGTTAAAGACGTTGCTAGTTTAGTTAGAGATGTTACTAGTTTAGTTAAAGACGTTGCTAATTTAGTTAGAGATGTTGCTAGTTTTGTTAAAGACGTTGCTAGTTTAGTTAGAGATGTTGCTAGTTTAGTTAGAGATGTTACTAGTTTAGTTAAAGACGTTGCTAATTTAGTTAGAGATGTTGCTAGTTTTGTTAAAGACGTTGCTAGTTTAGTTAGAGATGTTGCTAGTTTAGTTAGAGATGTTACTAGTTTAGTTAGAGATGTTGCTAGTTTTGTTAAAGACGTTGCTAGTTTAGTTAGAGACGTTACTAGTTTAGTTAGAGACGTTCCTAGTTTAGTTAGAGATGTTACTAGTTTAGTTAAAGACGTTGCTAGTTTAGTTAGAGATGTTACTAGTTTAGTTAAAGACGTTGCTAGTTTTGTTAAAGACGCTGCTAGTTTAGTTAGAGACGTTGCTAGTTTTGTTAAAGACGCTGCTAGTTTAGTTAGAGACGTTGCTAGTTTAGTTAAAGACGTTGCTAGTTTAGTTAGAGACGTTGCTAGTTTAGTTAAAGACGTTGCTAGTTTTGTTAAAGACATTGCTAGTTTAGTTAGAGATGTTGCTAGTTTTGTTAAAGACGTTGCTAGTTTAGTTAGAGACGTTGCTAGTTTAGTTAAAGACGTTGCTAGTTTAGTTAGAGACGTTGCTAGTTTAGTTAAAGACGTTGCTAGTTTTGTTAAAGACATTGCTAGTTTAGTTAGAGATGTTGCTAGTTTTGTTAAAGACGTTGCTAGTTTAGTTAGAGACGTTACTAGTTTAGTTAAAGACGTTGCTAGTTTAGTTAGAGATGTTGCTAGTTTTGTTAAAGACGTTGCTAGTTTAGTTAGAGACGTTACTAGTTTAGTTAGAGACGTTCCTAGTTTAGTTAGAGATGTTACTAGTTTAGTTAAAGACGTTGCTAGTTTAGTTAGAGAAGTTACTAGTTTAGTTAAAGACGTTGCTAATTTAGTTAGAGATGTTGCTAGTTTTGTTAAAGACGTTGCTAGTTTAGTTAGAGATGTTGCTAGTTTAGTTAGAGATGTTACTAGTTTAGTTAAAGACGTTGCTAATTTAGTTAGAGATGTTGCTAGTTTTGTTAAAGACGTTGCTAGTTTAGTTAGAGATGTTGCTAGTTTAGTTAGAGATGTTACTAGTTTAGTTAGAGATGTTGCTAGTTTTGTTAAAGACGTTGCTAGTTTAGTTAGAGACGTTACTAGTTTAGTTAGAGACGTTCCTAGTTTAGTTAGAGATGTTACTAGTTTAGTTAAAGACGTTGCTAGTTTAGTTAGAGATGTTACTAGTTTAGTTAAAGACGTTGCTAATTTAGTTAGAGATGTTGCTAGTTTTGTTAAAGACGTTGCTAGTTTAGTTAGAGATGTTGCTAGTTTAGTTAGAGATGTTACTAGTTTAGTTAAAGACGTTGCTAATTTAGTTAGAGATGTTGCTAGTTTTGTTAAAGACGTTGCTAGTTTAGTTAGAGATGTTGCTAGTTTAGTTAGAGATGTTACTAGTTTAGTTAGAGATGTTGCTAGTTTTGTTAGAGATGTTACTAGTTTAGTTAGAGATGTTGCTAGTTTAGTTAGAGATGTTGCTAGTTTTGTTAGAGATGTTACTAGTTTAGTTAGAGATGTTGCTAGTTTAGTTAGAGATGTTGCTAGTTTAGTTAGAGATGTTACTAGTTTATTTAGAGACGTTGCTAGTTTAGTTAGAGATGTTGCTAGTTTAGTTAGAGATGTTACTAGTTTAGTTAGAGACGTTGCTAGTTTAGTTAGAGACGTTCCTAGTTTAGTTAGAGATGTTACTAGTTTAGTTAGAGATGTTGCTAGTTTAGTTAGAGACGTTCCTAGTTTAGTTAGAGATGTTGCTAGTTTAGTTAGAGACGTTCCTAGTTTAGTTAGAGATGTTGCTAGTATAGTTAGAGATGTTACTAGTTTAGTTAGAGACGTTGCTAGTTTAGTTAGAGACGTTCCTAGTTTAGTTAGAGATGTTGCTAGTTTAGTTAGAGACGTTGCTAGTTTAGTTAGAGATGTTACTAGTTTAGTTAGAGACGTTGCTAGTTTAGTTAGAGACGTTCCTAGTTTAGTTAGAGATGTTACTAGTTTAGTTAGAGACGTTGCTAGTTTAGTTAGAGATGTTACTAGTTTAGTTAGAGACGTTGCTAGTTTAGTTAGAGACGTTACTAGTTTAGTTAGAGACGTTGCTAGTTTAGTTAGAGACGTTGCTAGTTTAGTTAGAGATGTTACTAGTTTAGTTAGAGATGTTGCTAGTTTAGTTAGAGACGTTCCTAGTTTAGTTAGAGATGTTACTAGTTTAGTTAGAGACGTTACTAGTTTAGTTAGAGACGTTCCTAGTTTAGTTAGAGACATTGCTAGTTTAGTTAGAGACGTTCCTAGTTTAGTTAGAGACGTTACTAGTTTAGTTAGAGACGTTACTAGTTTAGTTAGAGACGTTGCTAGTTTAGTTAGAGACGTTCCTAGTTTAGTTAGAGATGTTACTAGTTTAGTTAGAGATGTAGGTCATTTAACAAACAGCAGCATCTGGGACATCATCAGTAAAGTAAAATGTGATTATTTCATATCTTTCACTTAAACCACCAGATGCAGACTTCTATGACCTGCTGAAGCACGTTACACACTCAGGATCACCCTCCAAACACACCTCTCACCTGTACAGGTGGTGCTGGAGCACTGGTGGAGGTGTGATTGTTGTGCTAGAGGCTGTTTTTGTCTCTAATTTCCAACATGCCCAACATTAGTCAGCATTTAGATCTGTTTAGCTGTAATCCCTAATCTCATCCTGATGAATGTGCTGCTGATTTTATTTTAGGCAAGGTAGCTTTATTTATAGAGCACATTTCAAACACTGGGAAATCCAAAGTGCTTTACAATTAGCCTGAAATGGCACAACAACAAACACGAGAACACAAATTAAAAATATATACAGATAAAATTATAATTTAGAGCTAAAAGGAAAAGACAGAATTAAGGATGAGCAATGACATCACAGATTACAGAGGAGACGACGCAGCAGAAGAAACCATTCATGTAAAGGCTGATGAGGGTTTTAGTTGTGTTTCAAACAACACTAGGGTTGGGGCTGATCTGAGGTCATGGGGCAGCTGATTCCATACGTGAGCAGCATAGTAACTAAATGCATCTCCTCCCTGTTTGGTTCTGACCCAAGGTTCTACCAGCTGATTGTTTCCTCTCAGAGCCCTGCTGGGTGTTTATACAGGAACGAGGTCAGACATGTGTTTTTGTCCCATGCCATTGAGTGATTTATAAACTAGTAGGAGCACTTTGGTCTATTCTGTAGTTTACTGGTAACCAGTGTAGGGATCTAAGAACAGGAGTGATGTGCTCCGTTCTCTTAGTTCTTGTTAAGACTCTAGCAGCAGCATTCTGAACAAGCTGCAGTTGCTCCACAGCTTTTTTGGGACGACCAGTTAGGAGACCATTGCTGTAGTCCAGCCCACTAGAAATAAAAGCATGAATGATTTTCTCTAAGTCTGGTCTGGACATGAGACCTCTGACTCTTGATGTTTGATGAAGGTGATAAAACGCTGATTTAGTTATAGCCTTAATATGTCCAGAGAAGCTCAGGTCCGAGTCAATGATGACACAGAGATTTCTAGCCTGGATCTTTGTCTTTACTCCCCTGGAGTCCAGCTGAGCAACAACATCCATTCTATCCTTCTTGTTGCCAAAGACAATAACTTCAGTCTTGTCTTAGTTTAGCTGAAGGAAGTTTGACTGCTTCCAGTCGTGTACTTCTTCTAGGCACTGACAGAGCGAGTCCAGACAGTCATTAGGTGATAGGGCTAGGTAGATCTGGCAGCTAACAACAGCAGCTAAAGGGGGCGGGGCTCAGATAAAGGCTAATTCTCCGTGCTGATACAGGCGCTTGAGTTTTCTTCTGTGAGGTGCACATTTTTTTCCATTATTCAGTTTGATAACAGATGACTAGACACACATTTCAGTGTGTTCAAGCCTATTAACTAATTTATGCTTTAATTCCATAGTAAGTTGTAGTAAAGGTAGTAAGTTCTGTTTAAAGGGGATCCAAACCTTCTTAGCATTTTTATTTTAAAAAGTGACTGCATAGTAACTTCCTAGTAATAAATTACTTTTATAATATAACTTGCTAACTAACCTTGTTACTTTATTAAAGAACTAGTTACTATGACTGACTTCTAAACACTGATGAGACGTAAGCTCAATGACTCCTCACCTTTAGGCAGTTTGTCAAAGTCAACAAAGAAACGCAGCATCAAGGAACCCGTCACGAAGCCGAAGACGGGCCCGAACGAGGTCACGGCGAGGAGGATTCCTGAAAACACAAACGCACATGCCATCAGACACCAGCAACATGCAGGATGTCCTCGGGGTTCCTGAAGGCTCAGGCGTCTTCTAGCCATGAAGGAGTTTCAGTTTCATTCTGACTGAAATCAGTTTGTTTATTTTTTCTCCTCTGTCACAAAGATCAGCTCAGAGAAAACAAAAGTCATGAGAACGTTAGACCCTGGACTCCAAACATCTAAGAATCGTGTGTTTTTGTTTCTGTCTGGTCATGAATGATCCATTAGAAGACATGTCGTTCTTCTCCAGCACACAGAGATCTGTTGCTTCAGGTTCCTGGGAGGTGCCGACCCAATTCCCAGAAACCAGAGGAAGTGGGCTGGTTATATAATCAGCTTCGTGAAGGCTTCAACATTCCACAGATACCTTCAGATCTTCTCTCACTGCAGATTAAATCTTTACTCTCATCCGGTCAGGGTTTGATTTCACCTTCGTTTGGATCAGAACCGGACCTTTGCCATAGTTAATAAATACCTTCAACACTGTAAACCAGCAGTTTGTGTCAGCAGGAGGTCACAACCATGTGTACAAGGCCCTCTGGGGCACTGCCCCAACTACAGTAGTAGTAGACTAGTCTCTGTTGTCCTATGAAGGTCTCAACCATGGGGGTCTAGTCTCTAGTCTCCTATGAAAGTCTAAACCAGTGGTCCTCAAATGGTGGCCCGCGAGCTCTCTCTTTGTGGCCCCCAAACCCCGCGCGCACACCCCACCCCCGACAGCCGACCGGGAGGTGTAGGATAGACAGAGCTGAGGAAAATAATCAAATAATCAATGCATGAGATGCGGGCATAAACAACTCTGCATCATAGAAGAGCACCATAATCAGTTATAGTGGAATGGGGTTTTGTTATTTTAACGGCGGCACCAGCGCAGCATCCACATCTGTCAGAGCGGGGTTCTCCACATTTACCGAGTAGAAAACTTTGGTCCGCCTTTATGTGGTACTGCAGGGCTGAGCGCTGGAGCTGTAACCTGAGACCGAACCCGAACCCAATCAGCCCGATCAGCTCTGTTGGATTTGGGCCGTGAATTATGGTAATTGAGCGGGTTGTCGCGCAGCGCGCTCCGCTCGCTTGATCAGCGACTGAGAGAGACAGAGAGAGGATCGGAGGACGCTCCTCCAAACACACGTTATTATTTTCATAATTTCATTATTATTTCTCCTCGCCGCTCTCAGTCAGACCGAGTGCTGTGATGTCGGGAGATCCGGTCTTGGGGAGGGAGCGGGCTCAGTGACGGCGGCTGCAGCGTAATCATCTTATTTAGGGACACAGAGAAGTTAAAAGGAGAGAGAAATAGAAGATAGAAGTTCTTGTTCCACTTTATTCTTTTGTTTCATGATGATAAACTGATGTTAAATTCAGCTTAAAGAGAAACTGGGAGGAAGCTTTGGTTCATTTGAAGTTACAGGAGATCTTGTCTCCTATCTGCTCCTCCAGAGACAGCATGGACATGAGGGTCCCACAGGACAGCTTAGTGCAGGCACACAGCCGAGCTGGAGGGGGACAGGTGTTGTCAATCTTTATATTGAAAGCTTGAGTGTTATGTGTATTACAGCCAGCGATCCAAACAGCAGCAGCAGTCTGGTCTCCCCCTAGACTAGTCTCTAGTCTCCAATGAAGGTCTAAACCATGGGGGTCTAGTCTCTAGTCTCCTATGGAGGTCTAAACCATGGGGGTCTAGTCTCTAGTCTCCAATGAAGGTCTAAACCATGGGGGTCAAGTCTCTAGTCTCCTATGGAGGTCTAAACCATGGGGTCTAGTCTCTAGTCTCCAATGAAGCTCTAAACTATGGGGGTCTAGTCTCTGTTGTCCTTTGAAGGTCTAAACCATGGGGGTCTAGTCTCTAGTCTCCAATGAAGGTCTAAACCATGGGGGTCTAGTCTCGGGGGCCTAGTCTCTAGTCTCCTATGGAGGTATAAACCATGGGGGTCTAGTCTCTAGTCTCCTATGAAGGTCTAAGCCATGGGGGTCTAGTGTCTAGTCTCCAATGGAGATCTAACCCATGGGGGTCTAGTCTGTAGTCTCCTATAAAGGTCTAAACCATGGGGGTCTAGTCTCTAGTCTCCTATGAAAGTGTAAACCATGGGGTCTAGTCTCTAGTCTCCTATGGAGGTATAAACCATGGGGGTCTAGTCTCTAGTCTCCTATGAAGGTCTAAACCATGGGGGTCTAGTCTCTAGTCTCCTATGAAAGTCTAAACCATGGGGTCTAGTCTCTAGTCTCCTATGGAGGTATAAACCATGGGGGTCTAGTCTCTAGTCTCCTATGAAGGTCTAAGCCATGGGGGTCTAGTCTGTAGTCTCCTATAAAGGTCTAAACCATGGGGGTCTAGTCTCCAGTCTCCTATGAAAGTCTAAACCATGGGGTCTAGTCTCTAGTCTCCTATGAAGGTCTAAACCATGGGGGTCTAGTCTCCAGTCTCCTATGAAAGTCTAAACCATGGGGTCTAGTCTCTAGTCTCCTATGAAGGTCTAAACCAAACCTGGGCATTTTATGGCCCGCGGGCCACATACGGCCCTTTGGTTGACTTTGACCGGCCCGCGTAAGGTTAATTGGAAATTACAAAATAAATGTCTTTTCTCATTTTACCTCATGTATGGACTAAGGCTGCATTGCTTTTATTTTGAAGTTGTTTTTTACGTACACAATGACGCAATACGTATAGCAACAAGTGCCCGCGGTTGACATGGTGATTGTAGCCCCCAGAAATGTTCTCTCATGCAAAAAAAAAAAAAAAAAAAAAGATGCCGAATGCAGGATTTTCAACAAAAATTGGACTGCTAAGTATTTTTTTTACTGAAGTCGGAGGTAAAGCCATGTGTTTGGTTTGCGGGGAGGAGATTGCCATGTTTAAGGACTACAATTTGAGTCGGCATTACAACAAGAAACACTCGGAAAAATACAAGAACTTGTCTGACGCTGAGAGGGCACGGACATCCGAAGCTTTGCTAGCAAAGTTGCAAAAGCAGCAAGGCTGTTTTACTAAGCTTCACACATCCAGGGATGCAGCAACCAGGACCAGCTTTGTGATATCCCACAAAATAGCTAAAACCAGCAAGCCGTTTTCGGAGGGAGAGTTTGTCAAAGAGTGAATGGTGGACTCTGCCACACTAATATGCCCTGAAAAAAAGGCGCATTTGAGCAAATCCCGCTGTCCAGGCGAACCGTGACCAGGAGGATCGAGGACATTGCGGGGAACCTGGAGCTTCAGCTGCAACGTGAAGTGGCAAGTTTTGGCTTTTTCTCATTGGCCTTAGACGAGAGCCGCGACACAGCCCAGCTGCTCGTATTTGTCCGGGGGATAACGGAGCTCACAGAGGAGCTGGCAGCAATGCGGTCGATGAAAGGGACAACGACAGGGAGTGATGTTTCTACAGAGGTAAATACGTGCATGGACTCTCTGGGATTGAAATGGGAGAGACTGTCAGGTGTCACAACAGACGGTTGTCCAAATCTTACAGGGAAAATGTCGGACTTTTGAAACGCATGCAAGATAAAGTGACAGAAATCGATGCAGATCAAAAATTTGTGTTTCTGCATTGTATTATACACCAACATGTGTTGTGCAAGTCAGTGCTAAAAATCAACCATGTTACTGATGTTGTTACTAAAATAATAAACTTCATCAGGGCACGGGCAATGAATCACAGACAGTTGGTGGCTCTTTTGGAGGACTCCACACAGCTGTCAGATGGCTCAGCCTGGGGAAAGTGCTGAAGAGGGTTTGGGACTTGAAGGCAGAGATTCGAGAGTTTTGCGAGAGGAAAGGCAAAGACATTCCAGAGCTCTCAGATGAGGATTGGATGGCAGATTTAGCATTTGCTGTTGATGTGACTGCACTGATGAATGAACTGAACACCAAACTGCAAGGCAAGGGCCTTTTTGTTCATGAAATGCACAGCCTCGTGAAGGCCTTATGAGAAAGCTGCAGTTTCTTTCAAGTCAACTGGAGAGCAACACTCTCACTCGCATGCAAACCCTGAACGAAGCCACACCATCAGCTGATCACCTCAGCAGGTACTCATCCATGTTAGGAGCATTACATGGTGAGTTTTCAAGGCGTTTTGAAGATCTCAGAACAATCGAGGATGAAATGCACATGATTTCCTCTCCCTTTCCCTGCAGTGTGGATAATGCACCCACTGATGTGCTGCTGGAGCTCATTGACCTGCAGTCTGATGCAGTACTGGCAGAGCACTTTAAGTCAGGATCTCTGCTGGATTTCTACTCTTCTCTTAAGGAGGAGAACTTTCCAAACCTGAGGAGACATGCTCAGAAGATGTTGGTTCTCTTCGGCTCTACCTACATTTGTGAACAAACATGTTCAATGATGAAGTTCACAAAATCCAGGTATAGACCCTCTCTCACTGATGATCATTAGTCAGCTGTGCTTCGCATCTCCACCTCAGACATTCAACCTGACTCTGATGCACTCGTTAAAGCCCAGCAGAGACTACGTAGATTTCTCTCACTGAACAAGAAAAAAATCGCTTCAAAACACAAAATAAGGTGTTTGGACCACAAATGTAGGCAACTAGCAGTGAACTGGGACACTTTTTTTGAAACCTCTTTCTCAAGATCACAGTTCAGTGATTTTATTTTACAGACAATACTGTGTGTCTGTAGAACGCTAAGAACCTCTTTCCAACAATATTTGAAACTCAAAATGTGTTTTGGAGTGAATGTGACTGAAATTGTTAACTAATAGAAGTCACAAATGTTTAACAAAACCCAAATGTGCACGCTTTGTTTACCATTTCCTTGGGAAAGTTGAATAAATCACATTTTTGTAAGCCAACCTCACTTTTTCCTTTTTGCTCATTTAAAACATATAGTCTACTCTTACCAGCTTGAAAAAACAATGGTATTTACTGCTTTTTATAAAGAAATACCATTAATATTATGCATAATTGACTTCAGCCTTTTGGTCTGGCCCTCCACAATATTTTCTGTTTCTCATGTGGCCCCATGGAAAAAATAATTGCCCACCCCTGGTCTAAACCATGGGGGTCTAGTCTCTTATGAAGGTCTAAACCATGGGGGTCTAGTCTCTTATGAAGGTCTAAACCATGGGGGTCTAGCCTCTAGTCTCCTATGAAGGTCTAAACCATGGGGGTCTAGTCTCCTATGAAGGTCTAAGCCATGGGGGTCTAGTCTCTAGTCTCCTATGAAGGTCTAAACCATGGGGGTCTAGTCTCTGTTGTCCTACGGAGGTCTAAACCATGGGGGTCTAGTCTCTAGTCTCCTATGGAGGTCTAAACCATGGGGGTATAGTCTCTAGTCTCCTATGGAGGTCTAAGCCATGGGGGTCTAGTCTCTTATGAAGGTCTAAACCATGGGGGTCTAGTCTCTAGTCTCCTATGGAGGTCTAAACCATGGGGGTCTAGTCTCTTATGAAGGTCTAAGCCATGGGGGTCTAGTCTCTAGTCTCATATGAAGGTCTAAACCATGGGGGTCTAGTCTCTGTTGTCCTACGGAGGTCTAAACCATGGGGGTCTAGTCTCTAGTCTCCTATGGAGGTCTAAACCATGGGGGTCTAGTCTCTAGTCTCATATGGAGGTCTAAACCATGGGGGTCTAGTCTCCTATGAAGGTCTAAGCCATGGGGGTCTAGTCTCTAGTCTCCTATGAAGGTCTAAACCATGGGGGTCTAGTCTCTGTTGTCCTACGGAGGTCTAAACCATGGGGGTCTAGTCTCTAGTCTCCTATGGAGGTCTAAACCATGGGGGTATAGTCTCTAGTCTCCTATGGAGGTCTAAGCCATGGGAGTCTAGTCTCTTATGAAGGTCTAAACCATGGGGGTCTAGTCTCTAGTCTCCTATGGAGGTCTAAACCATGGGGGTCTAGTCTCTTATGAAGGTCTAAGCCATGGGGGTCTAGTCTCTAGTCTCCTATGAAGGTCTAAACCATGGGGGTCTAGTCTCTTATGAAGGTCTAAGCCATGGGGGTCTAGTCTCTAGTCTCCTATGAAGGTCTAAACCATGGGGGTCTAGTCTCTGTTGTCCTACGGAGGTCTAAACCATGGGGGTCTAGACTCTAGTCTCCTATGGAGGTCTAAACCATGGGGTCTAGACTCTAGTCTCATATGGAGGTCTAAACCATGGGGGTCTAGTCTCCTATGAAGGTCTAAGCCATGGGGGTCTAGTCTCTAGTCTCCTATGAAGGTCTAAACCATGGGGGTCTAGTCTCTGTTGTCCTACGGAGGTCTAAACCATGGGGGTCTAGTCTCTAGTCTCCTATGGAGGTCTAAACCATGGGGGTCTAGTCTCTAGTCTCCTATGGAGGTCTAAACCATGGGGGTCTAGTCTCTTATGAAGGTCTAAACCATGGGGGTCTAGTCTCTAGTCTCCTATGGAGGTCTAAACCATGGGGGTCTAGTCTCTTATGAAGGTCTAAACCATGGGGGTCTAGCCTCTGTTGTCCTTTGAAGGTTTAAACCATGGGGGTCTAGTCTCTAGTCTCCTATGGAGGTCTAAACCATGGGGGTCTAGTCTCCTATGAAGGTCTAAGCCATGGGGGTCTAGTCTCTAGTCTCCTATGAAGGTCTAAACCATGGGGGTCTAGTCTCTGTTGTCCTACGAAGGTTTAAACCATGGCGGTCTAGTCTCTAGTCTCCTATGAAGGTCTAAATCATGGAGGTCTAGTCTCCTATGAAGGTCTAAGCCATGGGGGTCTAGTCTCTAGTCTCCTACGAAGGTCTAAATCATGGGGGTCTAGTCTCTGTTGTCCTACGAAGGTCTAAACCATGGCGGTCTAGTCTCTAGTCTCATATGAAGGTGTAAATCATATGGGTCTAGTTTCTAGTCTCCTATGAAGGTCTAAATCATGGGGGTCTAGTCTCTAGTCTCCTGTGGAGGTCTAAACCCTTGGGTTCTAGTCTTGGTAAGGCTTCTTGGTTCTTACCCAGGTAGAGCGGCGAGTTCTTCTGACTGGCGTAGTCGTCTATGTACGAGATTCCAAAGGGCTGGATGGGAACAGCTCCAATCCCCAGGAGCAGCTGACCCAGAAGTAGCAAAGGGTAGACCAACTGCTGGGAAG